GCAAGAAATAGACTCACTCTTCTGGAGAGAGGGTGAAATTTTTCACCCAGCAAGTCATGGAAGTTAGAACTTCTTTCTGTGTGTGAACAGTGCTGTTTAATGTAGTTCAGAATTGCAGATTAAATGGAAACTTGTGGAATTCGTCTCTTTTATTTTAAATTTCTTAGATTGTGTCTTAGAACATATGGCAAGCAGAAAGTTTCAGGATAGGGTTATATACTTAATAACAGAGTGTACACATGTTGATCTCTTGATTTCTTTGCATACAGAGCTTCCTGTGACCCATGCCCTGCCCTAGCTGACATTTCACCCTGTTTCTTCAAAGAAAATGTCATATAATCATTATCTTCCCTTCCCAGTTCTCCAGCCACCCACTGTAGACCTTAGTTCCTTACAAGCATTCTTCTCCGAACACTTCCCAAGATGACATTTTGTACTTTCAAATAATAAGCTTTTAACATTCATGTCTTCAGATTAGGAACTCCATGCTTTTCTCTACATGAGCAAAACCTTTCCAATGAAATCCATTATACAATTGTCTGCTTTGTGTAAAGAGAAGAAGTAATGAATTGAAATCATATTTCTAATGAAATAGTGAGTCAAAATTGATTTTCTGGGATCATTACCAACCCTGGTCTAAAAATATTCCTTACTATTATTGAAACCTCTGTCTTATTCTTTTCAAATAAATGAAACAAAGGAAAAACTAATTTAACCAAGGAAAAACCCAGTCCTCAACCACTTTACTCAATTTAAGCAAGTAGAACTGAGAAAACACAGCAAACAATTCTCATTCCAAAATTGTAATGTGCATAATGCCAGTATGTGTTCCTCAGAAGTATATGGTTGTTCCCTCTCAGTTAATTTGATGTTTTTAAGTTAAAAGAAAATGGTATTGCTGGCATGATGTCCTGACATTGCAGGGTCTATTGGTGTCTACAATTAGCTTCAGGAGAGAGTAAACCCTAGGCACTTGCCCTAATGAGAACATGAGGCCTCTGGTTTAGCATGAAGGAATCAGTGTGACTTAATATGGGTTGCTTCTTTCAGCATTCCCAGCTATCAGTTAAGTTACCTGATAGTAAAATGAGAGAGAGAAAGTCAATGTCTTTTAATGGGAACCTGGCAGGGAGTGAGAGTGTGTATGACAGTGACATCTGACCAGTCCTTGTCTTCTTGGCAGTGAGCTCAAAGTTCTGACAAAGAGCCACTAGTGTAAAATATAAGCATACTGTTGTGAAGGTGTGTTTGTAAAACAACCCTATCCTCTCTACCTGTGCAGGAGAGGGGCTTCAGTGGCAGCTGCTTCTGCAGAGGATAAGCCCCCAGGATTCAGGGGCTGAGGGGGAAGGGAGAATAGGAATCACCTTCAGTCTGGCAATAGGGACCCGGGTGGAATGACAGCTTGTAAAATAAGCCTCCATCAGTCTCCCAGGAGACAGCCAGCTTCAACTTGGGTGTTCCGGGCTTGTTAGCCTCAATCATAATTGGTCTCTCCTCCCATCCCACGTTGTTGGTTTTCTGTGTGTGGCTTTTGGTGTGAGCGTGTTAGGTCATCAACAAATACAATGGCAGGAGGGGGCGGGGTGGGGTATACACATGATTGTTTTAAAGAAGAAAGGAGAAAAAGGATAAGAGTGGGCAGGAAGACTGTGAAGAGAATGGGGAAGATGGCCCAGGATTTAGGCTTCCGTGGCAACCCCTGAAGCGCTCAGAGGTAGGGCACTCCCTGAGAGCTTTGTCAAAGGAAGAAGAAGGAGCTGGAACCCCGCAGAGTGCCCCTGAGAATCGGCATCTGTTCCATGCAATTTTTGTTTGCTGGTCTCTAGAAGTGCCTGTAACATCCTGCTCATATCTGGTGCATCTCATCAAAAAAGAATTTTTCAGAAAATCCCAATCATTGTGACATGCCCTAGAAAGGTTTTGAGTCAGGAGCCAAAGGCTTAAAGAGCAGTCTAGGCTTCAGGGCTGGCCAGGAACACAGGCAGTTTCTATTCAGCCTGTCTCTGCTCATTTTTTTTCCCCTCATTTTTACTGAATATATTGGGATTCACTGGATAACAACATTATACAGGTTTCAGGTGCACAATTCTACAACACATCATCTGTAAACTGTATTGTGTGTTCACCATCCCAAGTCAAGTCTCTCTCCATTTTCATCCTCCCACATACTCTTCCCACCTACCTCCACCATCCCCCGCGCCCTGGCAATTACCACACTCTTGTTTGTATTTTTCTCCCCAATCTCTCCACCCCCTCACAGCCCCCTTCCACACAATCCCTGACAGCTGTCAGCCTGCTTTCCATTCATTTTTAAAATAGTTTTCTCACTGCCTCACAATCTTTTTATCCATCTCCTATATCTTCCTGTCTCCTCTTCTCAGAGGAAAACCAGTGCCTAGGGGTAGAGGCTATAAGAAGCTGTGATCAGGATTCTGCTGTAAAACAGGGAGGAGATGTGCCTTTGCAATCAAGGAAGAATTGTAGATCCTGCACACAGTTTTGGCACAAAGGGGACATATAAGTTTCTGAGACTCTCAGATATTTTTTTATTGTAAAAAGAACATTTGATGGGGGAAGGAAGGAGCAGAAGTGTAGTTAAAGGGAGCTGCAAGCTTTTGAGAAGTTTTTTCTCGTGTTTTTGTTTTTTTTAATTTCACTTCATCAGTCCTTGGTTGCCATGGTGCTACAGGCAGGGCTGGTGTCCCCAGTGTCCCTGACCCAGCAAAGGACATTCAGGGCCTGAAATCTTGCTCTTCTACTACAAATGAGGACAGCAGATTGGAACAGATTGGGACTGGTGGCTCTAAATCGTGTATGTAAGGGGAGATGGGGGAGGGGCGGGGGTGGTGCCTTTTTTGTGTGGCAGGACTTGGTGCCTACAAGTTTCTGGGCAGTAGCCTACACAGACTGTTCTGCAATGCCTTTCACCTAGGATGGGTGAAAACTCGAAGAATTCCCTTTCCTATTTCCTCTTGCAGGCTGAAGATTCGCAGCCAGAAAACGCCCTGCCCCTTTCCCGGACAGTTCTGACCTGCACATTCCAGTAGATATTATCTAGGCAACTCCCCCCCAACCCCCGTCAACATCCCTGGCCCCGTGCTTAGACAATGCACTGGCCTTGATCAAACCAGGTACCCCGAGGTACCTTCAGGTAACTTCTTGTACAAACACCCTGAACCCCTGCCCTATTAAGCTGTATCTCTCGCTTTTCTTCTCCCCACCCCCACATTAAAAGGCCCCCAAAGCACTGAGGACCAACTTCTCTTTATAAAGCCGAGAGAAGGCAGTAGGCGGGTGATAAAGATCAAGTGTTTAAATTGGCCATTTTGAAGATTACATCTTTTCAGCGAGGGTCTTTCAAAACTCGCACTGAATTAAGGGCCGCGGCTCCTTCCCACCCTGCTCTCAAATGCTGGGCACCTTTCATTCAGCCCTGGAATGGGCTGAGCTAGGTGACCTGGCGCCATCAAAGGGCCGAAGCAAGGCCGTGGGGCGACACACGTCTAATGACAAGTAATTGACAGATTCGAGCCCTCACATTAGCAACGGAACGGCGAGACATTAATTATTTAAAAACGATTAGCCTGGCTGTGTGTCCTGCAGACATTCCATCTTGTTCAGGGAAGATAACCAGACAAGCCGGGGTTTGGAGGACAGCGGACTAGCAAGTCAGCTGTCTTCCGGAGCGACGGACAAAGGCGCAAGGCCCGGGTCGGGGGCGGGGCGGTGGGCAGGGAAGAAGGGGAGGGAGCCCAAGCTTCCCACACAGGGAGGTGCCCACATAACTGACCGTATCAATTACCGGGACCGATTTCTGCCCATTTGGGATAGGAATCTGGGGACTTTGGCACAAACTGGAAGAGCTTTTAGGTTGGGGTGGTGTGCAATTTCTGTAGGCCGGCTACCCAAAGCGTCACACTGGAGAAATATCCAGAGTAATCGAGCCGACATGGGCCTCCTACAAGGCAGGATACCCGACTGTTTAAAGCAAAAATCCCAGAGGGAATACAGATTTCAAGGGGGTTCCTGGTAGACTCCAGAGGAAAGACACCTTTTCTGTACCCTCGAGAAATGAGGGTCTTGCAGTTTTAACTGGCGGTACCGGTACCACTAGTTTTCCCAGCCCGCTCCTTCCTAGAAATTTGTATTCGATTCTTTTCGATCCTCCAAACTCGCGTCCTCAGGCACCGCAGCCCGCCCCTGCGAGCCACGCGCTGGGAAAGTGGAGCAAAAAATGGCTCCTCCACTGATTTCTGACTTTTTCTCCTGGACCCAGCTTGTAACCCCCCGAGGCTCTCGAAGGTGGCTGCCGCCGTGTGCCTGTGTGCGTAAAGGCCACCTGCCACTTCTTGTCACCCGAAACACAAGTGCACTCGCTTTTCGGAGAGACACTACCTTTCCTTGCTTCCTCACGGTGTAGACTCTGGCCACCGCCTAGGCCCGATGGCTTCTGGAAAACGCCGAGGGTGGACTCGAACCTGTGTTCCCCGGGGGAGGGCGTCGCCACTCGCGAGTCTCTGCCTCTGCAAGCACTCCACTACCAGCACGACCGTACCTGCTAACCCCCATCCCTGACTCTGAGACCAAGGGCGTTACCCCACCTTCCCACAGTCCTTGGGAAACACTCGGTCCTCAAATCGAATCTTCAGCCCTAAGTGCCTGCAGGAACCGGCCGTGGCTTCCTGTAGCTTGGGGCCATTTCAAACTGTACTAAGAGCCCAGATTTAGTCCGAGTTTATAATTCTTCCACTCATCATTCTCTAAGACTATGCATTCTTAGAAATCACCGCAAAAAAAAGGCCACTTCACAAAACCCTGAGTCTCGGATTTAGTTTCTCACTACCTCTACCACCAAGTTCCCTCCTCCCAGGGTTCCGAGCTCTTGGAAGGGATAAGTGCTACCTGGGGGAGGGGAAGCGCTCCGCTTGGAGTAGGGGTAGGGGGCTGACGCCGCAAAGGGCCTACGGGCGCGGCCCCCGACTGGGCGCGTTCCTTACCTGCGGAGTTCGGGAAGGCGGGTGGCGAAGCGTCCAGCGCGCGGAGGGTGGCGGCGGACTGCTCCCAGCCCAGGCATCCCCGCATTTATTTGAGCTCAAACCCAGCGACTGTTGACTTTAGCACACAAAGCAAAGATTTCACTGCCCGCTAGTTTAAAAATGAATATTTTACCAAGATATCGATCAGCGTTATAAAATTCAGTTAAGTATAATGGGATCTTGGAAAAAAGAAAGAGTAATAAAGGAGGGGGGAGGCAATATAATATCTGTGCAAATTTGCTGAAGTCTGACGTGGCATGGAAAGTTTACCCTCCTGGAATTTAGATCTAGAATTTTTTTTTCGGTTGTTTACTGACTTTGTTTATTCACAGATCACGGTTGCTTAAACCGGCGCGCGTTCGGCGCGGGGAAAAGGAAGGAATAAAAGAGGGAGGGGGAAGGAAAAAAGAAACGCTGCACCCTATAATACTTTGAGTTGAGGGGAGGCAGGCGGAGGGCTATCTGTGAGCTAGTGAGCTTGGAGCCGGGGCTTGGGGGAAGGAGGCGGTGGCCGGAGGGTGGGGTGTGAAAGACACAAGAAGCGCAGAATCCTCCGAAAGCGCCCACTCTCCGACATCCTTTTTTTGTATTCGGACAGAACTCTATCTTATCGGACGGGATCAGTGAAGGGAGGGCGGGTGGCGCGCTAAGTAGTTTAAAACGACCCTCACACAATGGGCGTGCGTTACGAAACATAGCAGGTTAGGGCAGCGCTTTCAGCTTCCATTGTCCCCAATTCGGCCCCCTGTCCTGCCTCTCCGGTCCTTCGCCACAGGAGCCTTTTATGTGATAATGAAACACATTTCAGGCCGGGCTCACGACGTGTGTGTCCCGGCTAGGGGGAGACAGCCCTGATAGCTGGATTCGGCCTCCGGATACCACCCACCCCCACTGCCCCCCCCCGCCCCAATTTCTCTTCCTTGAGTTACTGGGGACAATGTAGCCTGTTAAAAACGAGGATTTAGAGGCCTCGGGAGAGAGTGGCCAAGGCGAGGGCAAACGCCCTTAAGTGCGTGGGAGGGCCAGGGTTTGAGGGGGCAGAGGCTCCTCAAGGTGGCGGAGGGCGCACGGAGAGTAGTCTCCAGGTCTGGGGCGAATCTGGGACACTGGAGGCTTGGATCCTAAGGAAGCCCAAAGATTAGTCCCGGAAACAAGAAGCTAGGCTATAGAAACCTGAGGCAAAATGTCCTGGCCTCAGAGGCCTGCGGAGAGTTCTTTACCCACCTCAAGCTTGCTGTGGTTCGGGTGGCCTCAAGTCTAAGAGGCCCGCGACAACACTAGCCCCTGACCTCCCCCAGCCAGCTGGCCAGCTTGCAGCCCCGCAGATGCCCCCGGCAAAGCCAAAGCCGGGCCCTCTTTGCAAATCCTGGCCCGCCTTCGCTGCTGGGGTTTCCAGTGAGATTGGCCAAGGATTTAGTCTGTCTGTGGGGATAGGCAGCGTGATTGTAAGAATTTATTCTGAGTACTTCTTTATACATTTGAATTTTCCTTTAAGGCTCTCAAAATACCCCTCATCCCTTCGGCCCCGCAGTCCTGGCTTGCCAACCCAGCTAAATGGATGTTGTGCAGGCTGTTGGCTTTTGTGTCGAGGAGGAATAAGATCCTGCAAAATTTGGGATCTCTCCACTGGCTACTGTCACTTGGCAAGCCCCTAAAGACACCCTTTACCTCCCCCTCACCCCTAAAATACCTTATTTTTAAAAGGAAATTCGGAACATCATCCTGTGCTATCGATCCTTTTATAACCAATTCTGGGGAAAAGTCCTGTTTCCAGATGCCTCACTACTGCCAGGCTTGAGCAAGGTCTGACAAAGTTGTGGAAAACACCTAAGTGAAGAAGAGGCTAGAATAGAATTGTGGAGTGTAGAAACAGAGGTCCAATTCCACAGGGGGGTAAAACGGTACCACAGAGAGGCGGCTATAGAAAGGCAAAGTGCTGCCCCAGGAATTTGCCAATTAAATCTGGACTGACTTGAAGGGGGAGCTAAAATGGGAAATACAGCAAAACATGTAAAATTCAGGCTTCTTCCCAGAAAAGCCTGCCCTAGGGCCCAAGAGATGTCAACAACATTGAACCTTCACGTGGCCCAGGTGGAAACTCAAGATATGTGGTTTGCATCTGTCTTGAAAGATAAATCTGCATCAAACCCATGGAATGGTTGGCCTGAGATCTGTGTTTCATTGCATGTAAAGATAAACTCAAAATCCAAAAAGTAATCATAAACAATATTGAGTTCTATCTAAATGATGTGCTTGTTGAAGTGCTTAGGGAGAAGTGTACTAATGTCTGAAATTTACTTTGAAATGCCCTTAAAATATAAGACGAATCGACCAATGGATTATAGGCAGATGGACAAATATGCAATATAACCATTATAGTGAAATACTTGCAGGATCTGGGCAATGGGTATGTGTGTGTGTTTTTAAGACTTCATTTATTTATTTTTAGAGAGAGGGGAAGGCAGGGAAAAAGAGAAGGAGAAAAACATTGATGTGAGAGAGAAACATCAGATCAGTTTCCTCTCGCCCTTGCCCAACTGTACCAAACCGCAACCCAGGCATGTGCTCTGGAAATCAAAGTGACCTTTCACTTGGAGGGAGGATGCCCAACCAACTGAGCCACGACAGTCAGCATGTCTGTAAAATCCATTCAAGTTCAATATATCTGAAAATTTTAATGAAATGTTGGTAAAATAACAATTCTTCCCAAAATATAACCTGCAACCAGCCAGGATCTTCCTCCCTCCATTAATTTCTAGACCTGTGTATTTTTTAAGTCAGGCAAAGAAAAAAAAAATCTTGACAATTCAAAGATAAAACCGGCAATAACACTTTAATATAGATTTGTGGAACTCTGGTCCTTGCAGCCAGAACACACATTTATAAGCCATAAATAAAGCACACAGAAACCATAAATTAATCAGATCCGAGACCTGGATTTCACTGTGTCAAGCATGAAAATGCATTTTTTTTTTCTTGGTCATATAAAACAGACCCTTACATCTTTTTTTTACCACCTCTCTTTTTAAACAATGGTACAATTCTCTGGTTCTCTGTTACAACTACATTGTTTTACATTGACTCACAAAAGTGGGATATTTTTTGTTGTTTCGTTTTGTTTTTCTTTTTCTTGGTTTTTTTTTGTTTTTTTTTTTGTTTTTTTTTTTGTTTTTTTTTTGTTTTTTTTTTGTTTTTTTTTAGTAAAGACTTCCCTGCAACAACAGCAATGGAAGAGAACAATAAGAAAAATCAGAATTCGCAGATGCTGCAAGAAGCAGGCATCTACACAGTAGTTAAAACGGGAGCTTTTTTCTTTTTGTCTTTTTTGACTGTTTTATCATTTTTCCCCCTTTCCCTCCTTACATCGGATGATACATATCAGTGTGGCTCATCTGTTTGGGAGGGAAGAGCTTCAGAGGTGAGGAGAAACTGCCGTCTTGGGGGTAGGAGTGTCTTGGATTTCTTCTCCCCTGTATCTTTCCAACACCCCTACCTCAAAGTCTCCACCCCACTTCCTCTCTCTCTTGTCTTTGTCCGGCTAGACAAGTAGCTGTCTTAAGAGGAGTTCATAATGGGCCGGGAGTACACCCCTTGGTAGTAGGTGGTGTCCGCGGCCAGGGGCGAGGCGTCCAGGCCCGCTTTGTTCGTGACTGAGCCCATGGCCAGGCTTCCCGGCATAGGGGAACCGTAGCCAGGGTAGTGCATCACCTGTTCGTAGGCCTTGAGGTCCATTTTGTGGGGCTGGTGGTGGTGGTGGCTGTGGTGGTGCTGCTGCTCGGAGGACATGAGGTTGTTGATTGAGAAAGGGTGGTTGAAGGCGTAGTGGTGCTCCGGCTTAAGGTGGGCCTCGGGCGGCAAGCCGGGATGGTGGGGAGGGCCCAGCAGGTGCGCCGGAGCCTGCGGCTGCTGCCCGGGCGAGGGCGCTGTCTCCGGGGGACTCAGCGCCGCGGCCGACGTGCCCTTCAACTCCCCCATGACTCCTCGCTTGTGCTCCTGGCACGGAGAGGCCCTGGAGTGGGGTGACTCGGTGCCTACCGTTGTCTCGGAGACCTGCCCAGTGCCCTCCCCGAGTTGACCCTGAGAAGCCCCTGCGCCCGCCTTCTTTCCACCGCCCGTGGAGCCCGCTGCTTCCTTCAGGGCCAGCTGTTTCTCGCACTTGAAGCGCTTCTGACGGCGCAAGTAGCAGCCGTTCTCAAACATGTTGCCTGAGTCGGGGTGCAGGGTCCAGAAGGAGCCCTTGCCGGGTTTGTCGGGGGAGCGGGGCACCTTGAGGAAGCAGTCGTTGAAGGAGAGTGAGTGGCGGATAGAATTTTGCCAGCGCTGCTGGTTCTGTCGGTAAAATGGGAAGAGGTCCATGATCCACTGGTAGATTTCGCTCAGCGTCAGCATCTTGTTCGGGCTCTGCTGGATGGCCATGGTGATAAGCGAGATGTACGAATAGGGCGGCTTTGCGTGCGTGTAGCTGCGTCGGTACGTCTTGGGGTCGCGCGCGCGGCTCAAGCCTGCCTGCCCGTACATCGGGCTCATGGAGTTCATGTTGGCATAGGGAGCCAGGCCACTCATGGCCCCCGCCGCCTGTCCCCCAAGTGGGCTCAGGCTCGGACTCAGGTGTGGGCCCATTCCCGCCACACCTCCCGCCCCAGCCGAGCCTCCCATGCTGGCCATGGCGCCTGCCCCGGGGGACATGCCGGCTAGGGACGGGCTCATGCCCGCTCCCACGTACGACGACATGTTCATGGAGCCAGCGCTCATGTTACCGGAGCCGTTGCCCATGGCGGCCGCCGACATGCTCATGTAAGTGTTCATCCCGTTCATTCCCAGGCCGGCGTTCATGTTGCTCACGGAGGAGTAGCCCTGCGGACAGAACCCAGGGACCGAGGCACACAACGTTAGCACTACGGCTTGGGAGCGTACTAACCTCCTAGCCCCTGGCCAGCTCAGGCCCCGGCCTCCGGGGAGTCCTTCCCTTGCCTTCCTCCACCCCGCCCTACACACCGAGTTCGTTTCACTCAGAGAATGCCGTGATCACCCTTGGGGAGGTAGCCAGCAGGGTGCTACTCTGTGCGTGTGCCTGGTTTATAACCCTTCTCTACCTGGCTCAGATTCTAAAACAGGGGACACCTGAAGCATCCCCAAGCCAGGTACCTTAAATGCATCTGTCCTTACTAAAATGT